CTTTTTAAAGTATTTATTACTTTCAAATATTTTATATACGGAATTAATTCGATATTTATTTACCAAGAATTGGACAGCACAAAAACAAAAATCCAGCACAGCTTCCGATGTATGCAGGTGAGCTTCTATCTGGTCTGAAATTGTATTGGCAAAAAAGATTATTTAACATTTTCATCAATTAGATTAAAGAAAATAAACCAACTTAACAACTTGACTGGAGATTTTGCAATCCAGAACATCGACAATCGCCGTGTAAGTTTGGGAAATCATTGCAATAATCAAGAAGAAAAGAGGAACATCAAACCCACTTCTTCAGTCGATGGTTCTGTAGGTGATTTGAATGGTGACCAAGTTGCAGAAGTTGACGGAATTATTGTAAATAAGGTAATAAAAACAGCTTATGTCTTTTTGAACAACATCTGATACTTTTCACTGCAACCACAGATATCTGACTTGCTTTTGTCATAACTCTTGAGGAAATATGGACAAAAGTTATGGAACGATTGAAAAAAGAAAAATTGCGAGTGCAGTATGCTATTGTGACTGTTTTTCACAAATGATGTGTGCTTTTTTACTTAACGCCAAATAATTTCAGGTCTATTGAATCCCGGATTGTGGATCTTTCAAATTGGACGCAAGTCGAATGGAACAGGATTCTTAAGGTATCGGACTATTCGCAATTATTTATCAAGTCAAGAAAAAAGCTCTGCAAGGAGAAGATTGACAAGAATGTGCAACAATTGCTACACGGTGAACCTGGTCGGATTGTATGTCATTTTTATTTATACAGTGCTTGCTTTTTACAGCACATTCAGCGATTATAATGGTATTTTGATAGCGGTCATTAAATGATCTAGAATCATGGAAAAATATGTTTACAAACTTAGCACCATCTGAAGATTCGCGATTAACTGTTGGAGTAATGGAGTTTTTGTAAGTATACGGCTGAATAATTTAAATGAGATAAAACCGGAAATTCATTAGGTTTTCTCTTTGGAAATATTCACTGGATTAAATTTAGCCATCTCTGTTTACGAAGAGAGATCAATGGTATATGAAATATCGTTTTATCATTAAAACCTTAATTAGAGTGTTCCGATCCGATCTTTAGCAGGCCATCCGGATTCTATTAAATCCGGATTGAATCCGTATCAGCATGACAGAGGTTCGATTTATGCACGATGGTTACACAAGATTTTACATATCAAAAACATAAAGAATAGGGGTACA